TGTCAGAAGACTTCGGACAAGGTGCGTTCTACTAAGTCTTCCTGACAACAAGATCAAGTTTCGACAACGAGATCAACACATTTCAACATTACATTGTTGCAACAGCTTAAGCCACCTTGAGTTGATTCATTCTTGTAATAACAAATGAAAATATTTTTAATGCGGGTTATCGAATAAAAACTATTTTCATCAATTAGCTCACTCTACTATCAAAGTAGCATAATTTTTATAAAATAGAGAAACTTACTTTGGTATAAAGGTAGAGATAAAGAGATGCAGATCTATGAATTTAAAAAAAATTACCAGGATCGACAGAATAGGCTTCCCCAGCAAGTGTTTCCAAGTCGTCATAGGTGGAAAAGAGGCGAAGATTGTCTCTAAGCCAATCAATTGTTGCTCCAGCATAGGCTATTGACCCCTGAAGAATAAGAATGAAAATAGGTGAGCAATGAGGAATAAGATATGAAGAAAAACTGGGTTTCGAAGAGCTCTTTAGTGATATATTGAGTCACGACTTTCCATTTCGAAGGAGAAGTTGGTTGGAAGTAATTCACGAAGTGGTTTCACCGGAAACCAAAGGAGGATTGCCGAGTAGGGAAGACTGTTTAATTGTGTGAAGATTTCCTCGGCTCACCGTCCTGCGACCCCGATGAAGCTGTGCTAAGCTTTCTTCTGTACTTTGATAGATATCATCAGAGCAGGGGAATTTACGTCGATAGCGTAAGATTAGGGAGTATATAAAAATTAACAAAACATCCAAGGCCCTGAATAGGACGAATGAGTGTAGAAAATTGAGTAGAAACTATTTGTGGCTGTTGGGTAGGCTTAAGGAGAGGGAGAGGGAGTGCAGGAAGAGCCACTAAACACCAGAAAAAAGCCGGATTAGCCTCGAGTCTAGCTAGGGCTATCATACTTCCTATGAAATTAACATTACATACACACAATAGATAATGGCACGAGCCCAGACATGATTCAAAATTAGAGGATCGTACACTAGTATATTTTTTAAGGCAACAGATGCTACCGAACTCACTTTTGGTTTGGGAAGTAACCTCACTCATCTGCAAGCACGTAGAGTAACTCGCACTTTGATAAGTTGTAACTCTGTGCTTATGATGGCGCCTCTCACTGAAGATGCCAGAGAAGCGTTTTGGAATGTACCCAGCCAATGGTCCAATGCTGAAAATCACAAATAGGATGGCAGAGGAAATGGGACTAGATACATTCCACAAGGTCTCCCTGATGCTCCGACAAAGTCGCGACCAAACAGGACACACAAGCTTGGTCTTCATATATAGCATGTAGACTAAGCTTGAAATCGCCAACCAATTCGTGGGATGCCTCATTAAGATCGTGAAGTTTAGCGTATAAAAAGCGACTATGGTTGCAGCCGGACATCCATCCTCTTGGTTTAGTATATTTTGCTCCATTTTGTGAAGTATGGATACCTGCTCTAATGATGTCTGTCACAGTACAGACGAGAGCTTAGCATAGTTTCATCGGGGCCGCAGGATGGTCAGCCGAGGACTTCTTCGCACAATTCAACAGTCTTCCCTACACAGCAATCCTTCTTCGGTTTTCGGTGAGACCACATCACGAATTCCTTCCAAACAAGGTTTCCTTTAAAATGTAACGTCATGTCACAATGAAGAATAAAACTTTTTATTCATGTATTCTTACTGCATCCGTCTGTTTACTAGGCACATTATCCCACATTCTGCCAGCATCACAGTCGGGACCTTAAGCAAAATGACCTCGTAATTGTAACAAACTGTCTCCTTATTGCTGCCTATGGCATGCCAATCCAGCCCTAGGACTTCTTTCTCTTACCTCCACTTCGTAAGATAAAGATTTGTCTCTATCATCAGGCTTCTGGCCCCCTTAGTTCCATCAGACTCAAGATGTACGCTTTTTCGAGATGGTCTTTTGGAGCAGACACTCAATGCTGGTCCAGATATTGCCTCAGCTAGTTCATTGATTAAAACGGAACCTTTAGTAGTTTGAAGCTTCTAGCAAATGTATGCTAAGAATTCTTGCCAATTCCCGACGAAGCCTGGTTTGTTTCTAAACATCGCACAGTCAAGTCATCCTTCATACTTGGAATTCCTAGGGCAGAACCCTCATCCATTAGTTCTTTTGCACGTCACTTATGCTTTTAGCCGATCAGATACTGAAAGAATATATGAATACCAGATGATGAAAAATGATAATAAACTATTTGCATACAGGAAAACCCACCTCAATCGCGTAGTGTGGCTTCGCCTTAGAGCCCATTTGATAAGCAACCGTTGTGAGCAGGCCTTGATCGGAGAATAAAGGATCCTCACCGGTGTCCCAGAGTAGGAAGCCACCAGTGCCGAAAGTAACCTTAATCTGACGAGAAAATGACGGGGCGACTGCTTATTAGATTCAAAAAGAAGAATATAAGATTCGGAATAGGGTTGAGATTAATAACTAATACTCCATAATGAAATTCTCAGTCCAGCATAGAGTATATCAAAGTCAATTCAAAGCTCTCCGCAACAATAGAATAAATGATATGAAGACCAAGATGGTGTGGCCTTTTGTGTGGTCGCATTCTCCTTCCGTTGTATAGAGGTTGTTTGACCTTGTTTTCGCAACATGGTCATATTAGTAGGAAGACTTAGAGGAACGTACCTAGTCCTGAGTCCATTGCATGCATGATCATTTCCAAAGTTGAACCGTGGAGTTGGTACATTCCCAAACTTTTCGCTAGCATCGTAGTTGGAATCGTCAGTGAGTATCGCCAGCCTTAACAGCATAT